TCGTTCAAGAAGTACAAAAGTGAAAAAGTCAAAGAATAATCATTATTGATGAGTCCTACCAAACGAGCAAACGAGAAACAGACCAGAAAACGACAAACTAGCCACTAAAAATGGCACCATGACAACATCTGTTCTTTATTTATTTCCTCCACAAGACTTACCAAATTCTAGTACTACACAGATTGTGGTTCTCAATTTGCACGTAGCCCTTCAGTTGAAAGAAGCTTTTTAACCGCCTTCGCCAACTGTGTGTTGACTGGACTTTGGCGTTGACCGTGGAGCAGCTTATTTACTATTGAAATTTGAACAAATATTCAAATGATTATAACTTTCTTCAAATATGACGAATTTTCAATCTGAAAGCAGATTTGGGAGTTTTGTGAAGAGCTTTTTCTAATCAGTACGTTGAAATGCGGGAAGGACGGGAAGTTATAAGAAATAACAAATTTAGATCAAATAACGAGGAAAATTCGAGACGAGCACGAGTTTTTACACTTTCCGGAGCAATAACTTGCTTCATTTCCGTCAAATTCAAAAAGTTGATACGTCATACAAAACTAGAAGATTTTCTCTATCAAACGGTCGCTAAAGCAGCTTCATACGTCCAGTATTCAAAAAATGGCCACGTTGAGGATTTTTGCAAAATTAACGAGGAAAATTTGTGATGAGTGCGAGTTTTTTTACTTCCTAAAGCCATAACTCCGTTCAAACTCATCCAATCCGAAAAGTAAATACGCCATCATAAACTAGAAGATTTGCTCTATCAAATGCTTACTAGAACTGCTCCAAACGTCCAGTATTAAAAAAACGGCTACGTTGAGGATTTTCGCACGAGTACCGCCGAAAGGTACTTTTTCGCTACATTGGCACTATTTCAACGGCTGTATATCCTTTTAAGGGCGATTATGTACTAAAGTAAGAGCAGATTTGGAATCACTGCTTTTCTCTTCTAAGAAAAGTGATTGATTAGCGTTTCTCAACTTTAAAGGTTACATGTTTATAAATTTAACCCCTGAAGAGTCCGTTAACGCAATGTTGAATGGTGTACACCTCCCTGTAAATGCGCACGGACACTTTCAGAATTCTCTCGATTGTTCCTGAATTGAGGTTGTTTGTCCAAGGAGCCGTAGTTGAAGCGCGCGCAACAACTAGACCCTTTCTCGGATGCGCCGTGTACCTCACATCCCTTCAGATTCGGGGTCTTACTTGAAAGATGAAATATCTCTTGGAAAGCGTGCGAAATTCAGATTCTTTAACTTGTGTGGTGATAAAACACTGAAGTAACTACTAAGAATTACCGGACGCCTCAGAATCACGAAAATTTTGTGTGGGTGAAATATCATTTTCATTGGAAATCCTCTGGCCTGGCATCGACTCATCCTTGATATTTGTCTTCCGACGGTGATGATCCCACTGCATCAAATGGCTCGATCTCTTCCCCAGCGGGCCAATACGACCCCCCCCCCCTGCGACGTGTCGAGGATTCCTCAACGCACGCTTGACCCTGCTCGTCATTAGACAGTATTTCGTATAACTTCGTAT